TATTAATATAGTTTTTTCATGTAAAATAAACAGTAACTGCTTATAGTCTGTATGGGCGTATGCAAGTACATGTACATGTACCTCATATGCGTGTGCAGAATTGACAAAAATGTTTTGAATGTCAAGCGAATCAAATGAGAATCGAAGCTTAGGTCCTAGTCCTTCTCCCTTTAACCTAAGGGGGAGCCTGCTCTCTCTACCAGTCACATCACAATATGCTACACTGGAATAACTGGATGAGAGAAGAAGGATCAAAAGTAAAGTATGTATCATACACATGACATGCACATGCACATGTACATGCATGTGTACATACTCTAAGTACTAGTTAATTTACTTTTTAGCCTTCTCTGGTTGAAAGGAAATAGTAACATCAATTTGTGAGTGAGGCCACAGTTCACCTTCCTATAAACAAAATTATGAGCATGTGTACATGTACATGTATATTCACTTACCACCGGATCAATGGAGAAAACATCATCATAAAATAGAAACCTTTCATTATTAATAAGCTACAGTGTACAGTATATAAAGTGAATAAATAATTAATGCTGATTTCAAACACGCAAACAATACATGTACAATGTACATGTACAAGCACTCACTGCTTTCCTTTTATCAAAATTATGATCAAGTATAGAGACCCTGTCCCTCAGGTAAGGATTGTGAACACAACGATCAAGTAATGACCTTTTTGAACTGGCCTCTTCATCACTTAACTCTTGCTTTATACTAGAGAGAGAGAGGGGGGAGATACAAGAGAAGAGAGGAAGGGTGAAAAGAAAGGAGGAAGAGAGAGAGAAAGGGAGAGAGAGGGGGAAAAAGGATAAGTGAATGTTATGACGTTACAATTACATGTCTCTGTGTAGTTCTTCTTCATCTACTGTTGATTTGAGTTTCCATTCAAAGTGAGAAACAATATCAGTGCGATTGTGTAACGTTAATGTTCTGTATAAAACAAAAAGTATAAAACATGTATACTAGAGACATTCTCCCTCTCTCCCAGCTCTCACCTCTGTGAACACAGTCCAATGTAAGTGCTCTCCATTAGTATTGAGCTCTTATCCAGTCTCACATTAACATCAATAGCAGTCCCATACAATTGTACATACACCACCTCACCTATTAGTAATACAATGAACATACATACATGTATACACAGAATGGAGTCATACCAGTATCATAGTGAATGGTTAGTTCCCCAGTATAATTTCCAGTGTTGTTTGGTAGGAACTCTACATTAGCTTGAGTGCAACCATTAACTGGTAGTATGGAGTGAGAGGGAGATACAGAGAATGGCCTACAATGTACAAGCAAACCAGTCATTAATGCATTACCATAATTATTTACATTTGTACATGTACATGTACATGTACATTGTACAATGAATATCTTACTTGTTTGTTTCTAGTTTGAAATTAGCTTCTTTCTTGCCAACATTCCTTACCAGAATAGTCTTACATGATTTGTACTAAGAGAAATATCATACATGTACATGTAATCATTATAATGTTACATGTACATGTTTATGCATGCACATGTACATGTAGTTCAGGGTGCTATTGTATTAAGTGTATGTACTTTAACTGGTGATGATGTAAAGTGAATGTCATCAGGGAAGTCAAGGACACCTCTTGAGCCCCGACCAGAGACTGGAACAACAAACTTCTCTCTCTCAGTAAC